GTAAAGGCCCAGAGGATGGGGACACAGATGGGAGGGGGGAGTGCGCCAAACTCATAGTGAACGGAAGGAGCCCAGGATCCCCTCTGCCCTCCTGAGACCTCTCATGAGCCTAGCATTGTCACCTTGTACCCCCTCACCTCACCCCATGATGATGCTACCTTTGGGCTGGCCCAGATTTACTTCCGTCCCCGTCCCCTATAGACACTAGCTCTGGCCTAGGCTCTCTGCTGGTTCTCGAGGATGGAAAAAGTCCCATTTCCCACCACCACCAGGTGGCCATTGACTTCACAGCCTCCAATGGGGACCCATGGAGCAGCCAGTCCCTACATTGCCTCAGCCCCCGCCAGCCCAACCACTACCTGCAGGCCCTGCGTACCGTGGGAGGCATCTGCCAAGACTATGACAGGTAGAGCTGGGGGGCAGGGATGGGGAGACAGGCACAGAGGCCTTGCCCAATGGGCCCTACAGCCTTTCCTTCTCCCCAGTGATAAGCGGTTCCCAGCGTTTGGCTTTGGGGCTCGAATCCCTCCCAACTTCGAGGTAGGCTGGGTGCCAAGAGAAGGGAGGAGGAGGTGGGGGAGTGGGACAGGAAGGAATGATCTCCTTGCTGTTCTCATCGCACTCTCACAGGTGTCCCATGACTTTGCTATCAACTTTGACCCCGAAAATCCTGAATGTGAAGGTAAGAGGGGAGGTTCCCACCAGTGGGGACTTCCCCCCGGGTCCCCAACCCCTCTACCCCCATACAGCTTATCGCACACGCCCTACCCCCCATACCAGAACACAGACTGTATTCCCGTAGGTCCAGCTCCCTCCCCCTTTACCCATCCAGCACCCGTCTTCCTTTGGTAAGACTTCCAGACCCTGGCCCAGCATCTACCCACCCACCTGCCCCAGTGCCGGGACCATCCAACTCTCCTACTTACTGAGGAACTAGTGGGGGAAGGGGCAGAACACCTCCTTGCTTTAAGGGGTGTCAGGAAGGGCTCCCTGCTAACCTCCGACAGCCTCACCTCTGCCCACAGAGATCTCAGGGGTCATCGCAGCCTACCGTCGATGCCTGCCCCAGATCCAGCTTTATGGCCCCACCAACGTGGCCCCCATCATCAACCGCGTGGCGGGGCCTGCCCAGAGGGAGCAGAGCACCGGCCAAGCCACGGTGAGGAGAGGAAGCAGGCAACGAGGCTCTGCCCGGGGGTCCCCAAGTGGGGCCAGGGTCTGGGCTTGGGGCAGGTGCCAAGGTCGTTGCACACAGAGCTTACCCATCCTTCCCTCCACCTGCCCTCAGAAGTACTCGGTGCTGCTGGTGCTCACAGATGGCGTGGTGAGCGACATGGCCGAGACCCGCACTGCCATCGTGCGCGCTTCCCGCCTGCCTATGTCCATCATCATCGTGGGCGTGGGCAATGCTGACTTCACCGACATGCGGCTGCTAGATGGCGACGACGGTCCCTTGCGCTGTCCCCGAGGGGTGCCCGCGGCGCGCGACATCGTCCAGTTCGTGCCCTTCCGGGACTTCAAGGATGTAAGTCCCGACGCCCTCACCCAACAGGACTCCTCAGCTCCTCATATCCCTAAATCTGACCCGGTTCTCTCACCGGGTCGGTGTCCTGAGAAGGACGCTGGAGCCCAACTGGCCATTCCGAAGCCACGCCCCCACTTCACCCTGCCCCTGGCGCTCAGGCTCCTAACCACGTCCCCCGCCCTCCACCCGCAGGCCGCACCCTCTGCGCTGGCGAAGTGCGTCTTGGCCGAGGTGCCCCGGCAGGTGGTGGAGTACTACGCCAGCCAAGGTATCAGCCCCGGGGTTCCCAGGGCCTGCACGCCGGCCACGACCCCCAGCCCTAGCCCGTGACTGCTTCCCACCGGACCGGCACTCCTTCAGCCTCTCAGTGAGTCCTGAGGGCCCAACGGTATGGACACTAGGGGGTGCAACGTGGGGCTTGGAGGAGCCCATCTTGGTCGGGTGTGGCATAGAGGAGGGTGCTTATGGCTGTCCCTCCCTCTCCCAGGGGCCTGCCCTGACCCTTGTGACTCCAGTGATCGGTGCCTCTCCCTCTTGGATCAGCTGCGCCCCCTGAATCCTGGAAGTGAGTGGAGAGCCCTGCCCCATCTCTCCAGGCCCCACAGCTGTCAGCCTCGTGGCCCCTCGATGACTCTTCAGTGATCCTGACTTTCTGGCCATTAATAAAGGGCACCACTCCTGGCACCTCAGCCTCTACCCATCATGTCTCATATGCCCATCAAACTGTCAGTAGTACCCACCACCACCATTAAGAAGTGAAGACCAGCACGTTTCAGACACTGGGCCAGAGCTCACCAGACAGCCAGATGTCTCTACAGTTTCACCCCAACTATTTACCTATGAGGTCTGAGGAACCCTGATCCTCATCTCCCAACCCCAGGGGGCCCAGGCACCGTGGGGTTAATCACTGGGTGGGGGAGGTAATAAGGGGCTGTCAAAGGGACAGGCTAATGCCTGTGTACAGCTGTCTCCAGAGCAGCCCAGCTGAGTCCCCAGGGGCTGAACTCCAGCCCCCACACAGCTGTGGGGCGGGGCCCAGAAGGGGTGTGTGGGACCGAAGGAGGGGCAGCAGGTCTGGTGGCGAATTATGACTACAAAGGGGCATTTGAGGTCTGTGCTGCCTGGTTTGCCTGGTTGTGTGAATGTGTGTGTTCATGCACTGCACATCCCTGATTTTCCATGAGTGTGGTCTTAATGGTTCAGGAGTCCTGCTGTGTATGCTTAATAACGTTAACGGCACATACTGTGTAGCCAAAGAAGCAGCAGTAGGCCTGGAACTTGAGCCCAGGCCCATCTGACTAAAGTGCTCACACTCTTAATCACTAGTGTGCGACTTCTGTGTGGGATGTATCTGTGTGACCCTCATCTTGTGACCCAGGTGTATTTATATGTGGCCTGATTGTGTGTATGAGTGCAGTACCTGCGGATGGGCATCTCTGCCTGTGTGTGTGTCTCAGCCCGAATCAAGTAAAGTGTTCAAGAACTGTAGTGGGTCTGAACTGCAGTTCCAAAGAGCAGATGAGACACTTGTGAGACCCAGAGTGAGGGAAGAAGAGCTGGGCTCCTAGAGGGACCCTCCCTGTCCCAGCCTCCCGCTTCAAGGATGAGTGTGGAAGGGGATGCAGGAGGAGAGGCTAAAAGTGCCATGACCCAGCCACAGCCAGAGTGAGTAGCCAGTAGTCAGTAGTCAGTAGCCAGTAGCCAATAGCCAATAGCCAGTGGTGGGAAAGGGAGAGGAGAAGAGAAAGAAATCCTGAGGGTGGGGTGGATGGGAGAGAGGCCTCCCATTGCAGGCTCCTGAGTGGAGGAGGGACAAGCCTGGGCCAGAGGAGGGGAAGGAGGGGACAAGGGCTGGGATGGGAAGAGGCAGCTGGAGAGGGGGTGGATAGAGGGGCCAGGGAGGAAGAGAGACATATGGAAGCCTCTTCCCCCACACCTGATTGATTCTCCCATTTATTATGTCCCTTAGAGTACCTGATGAGGTTGCTGCTCCCAGTTCAATGCCTCTGATCTGCCCAGATTCCCCACCCACTCCCACCACAGGCAGCTGAAGCAGAGGGCTGGATTGCCATGACAACTGTAAGACCTCAGGATAGCTATAAACAGGCCTGGCCCTGTCACTGATGCTCCTGGGCTTCTGTGCGGTGGTGGTGGAAGGGGGAGTCTCCATCTGGCCCAATCTCCACCCCTCCACCCCATTTTCATTAGGCCCCCAGAACTGAAAGACACCATTCAACCCAGTTAGGGGGCTTCCCAGATTCTCCCTCTCTCTCTCTCTCTCTCTCTCTCTCTCTCACACACACACACACACACACACACACACACACACGTCTGGAGCAAGGATAAAAAATGAACATTTCTTAAATCACAAGAACAATAGCCAATAGCATAAAGTTCTGCCTAGACTTCAAGTTTAATTCACAAAAGCTAAGTTCTCTCAGCCCCTTGTCATGCTGGGGAAAGCCTCGCCTCTGCCCTCAGAAAGGCAGGAGGTAGCAGGATCACCTTATGTAGGTCTGGAGGTCAAGGCAGCCCTGCAGGGAGCAGCAGACGACCAGTGCATGGGCTCATCCACTGCCGAAGCTGCAGTCAGGAAGCTGGAGCAGGACAGGGAGTCCCTTTGGTGAGGCTGTCTTGGGGAGACCATTGGACTCCAACACTATGGAGGTGCCAGAACTGGAGAGGTGTCAGAAGTCATCCAATCCAAATGAGGATTAGGTGAGGTAACCAAGACCCAGGAAGCAAACAATCTGCTCAAGATTACAGAGGTATCTTGTGGTATAGCTGGGACTAGCACCCAGGTCTCCAGACTCCTGCCCAGGGTTCTCTCCTGCGCACACTAACCACTCTCAGAGCTCCTCCGGCTTTTGCAAGTCTGGGCCCTGGAGGCCACTAGGTTGGGTAGGAGGAAAGCCTCTTGGATAAAGTTCCTAGTTACTGGGAATTAAAAGCTTGAAAATGCAATAGCTCTAAATGAGGATGTTACAAGACTCAGAATGAAAATACGGCCTTATTGCTAATTGCACTACAGGTTGAAAACCTTGAATTAAAATCTAAACTGAGCGGGAAGCTGCACCCCTCCCTCACCTCCCACACACTGCCATGCAGCGATCATCCACACCCTACCCCTCCGCCCCCCAAACACACACACACAAAGTGCCTGGTACTGGCTCCTGCAGATCTCAGTATCCTAGTCATGTGGATTTGGGCAGAAGGTAGGCGGTTTCTGTGCATGGCCTGCCTGAGGAGCAGGGAACCCTTTCCCAGAAAATGACCATCATCTAACTTCTGAGCATGCCTTGAGGGTCCAAAAAGTTTGGGGATATTGCTGTGGTCATACGAAGGAGTGTCTGGCACCGGAAGATGCTCAGTAACCACCTAGTAAATGGTACAGCTGCCTCCTGGACGGTGCCCCCCCCCGACCCCCCGCCACCTACCCAGCCACCTCTTCCACCACTCTGCGACCCCCAGGGGCTCAGACGAAGAAGTGGGAGTGGTCCCCGGACCCAGGGCCGCTGGAGGACAGCCGGTCACAACGAGCCTTGTAGAGGTCGCGCTCCCTGGCCAGGCGAGCCACCTCGGCCCGCAGCGCGTCCAGCTGGGCGGCCAGGCGGGCGCGCTCTGCCTCTAGCCCGCGCCGCTGCTGCAGCCTCTTGGAGCGACAGGCCTGCGCGTACCCACGATTCTTCAGCGTGCGGCGCCTCTGCTTCAGCCGCAGCGCCTCGTCGCGCCCGCAGCCCCGAAGCTGTCGATTTAACTCCCGCACAGACATCGACACCAACGCCGCGTCGGAAAACCGCTCAGCCAGCTGCAGAGGGAGCAGGTAGAGAGACCTGGTCCGGACAGGAGCCCGCCCCGTTCTCCAACGGGACCCGAGCCAGGCTGGCCCCGCCCCCCAGGAAGGCCCCGCCTCCGGCACTCAACTCAACTGTTTGCCATTCCAGTGACTCTCCCAGTCTAGACTCCGCCCCAGGTTTCCAACCCTTCCGGGTCCCCTGAGGCCTTGGCCTTGGGACGTGCGGCCCTACGGACCTCCCGAGCGCTGTAGGCCCCGCCCTGTCAGCAGAGCCAGTCCAGCACCTGAACGCTGCGCGGCCCCTGCGCGGTCCTCAGCATCTGGCTCCAAACCCAAATGTATCCAGTGGACATGAGCCCACATAAACCCTGCCTTTCCAACGCACCTGGCTCTCCTGTGCTGAAGGCCGCAACCCTGTGACCCTCAAAGGATTTGGATTACGTCCTAATACCTTCAACACCCCCATCTGTGTCCGTAATTAATAGGATGAATCCCAATCCTTTCTGAGAAGGTTGGGGGCTGGAGGAGCACGAAGTCTTGAAAAGGCCAACCCCATTATTGTTCCCACAGTTTTGACTCTGCTGCGTTCCAAGGACAACTCTTTCCCTGTTTTCCACGCACAGTGTATCTCTTTACCTCCCCATAATTGCTTGCTCCCCTAAGCTTTTTAATTCTCAACACTCCTTGTGCTGTCCTTCCTCTTCTAACACCACCAGCCCTACCCCTTCCTGGTTAGCATATTCATTTCTCTCCATTTCAAAAAAAAAGGGGAGGAGGTAGAATGTTGTTTTCTCTCTATGATTTCTTTCGAGGGCCCTTCTTCCCTTCTCCTGCTCTCTGTCTCTTTTCCAGTCCAGGAACTCCTTCCCTCTCCCTGCCTCCTCTCAGACCAGCTCACTGATCACTCACCTGGACATGCTGGGCTCCTGTCTCCTCTGGGCTCCCTGGGTAGTAGCTGTGGGGCCCCTCAGCAGGGACTGGGCTCTGCCCCTGCAGCAGGTCCACTGCTTCCTCAGGACTCAGCCCCAGGGCCTCCCCAGCCCCCAGCTGCTGCTGCAGGGTGGCCATCCAGTACAGTTCCTCAAGGCCTGGCCGGGGTCCCTCAGTGGCACCCACCATGCCCGGCTCACTGAAGGTGGGCGAAGGAGGCACTGAGCTGTAAGGTGTGGAGCCCAGTGAGGCTGTGAGGGGGCCAGGTGGCCCTTCAGAAGGTTCCCGCTTTACCTCGAACTTCATCAAGTCAAAGTCATTGACATACTCCATGGCAAGGGGGCTGGGAGACAGTGCCATTCTGGGGCTGGATTGGGAGGGACGCATCTGCAAAACAGAGGAAACATTTAGAGCACAGGAGGCTGCCTGCCAGCCTCCTTCACCAAAACCTCCCCCAAAGTCCAAACGCCCTGGAATCCAAATTCTAGAAAACCAGAGTGATGATGGTACAGCCCTGTTCCCTGCATAGTCACCTCCAGGCTGGGGGCCAACTTTTCAGGTGGCAGGGGGTCCTGACGGGGGAACAAGCAGCTTAAAAGCCTGAGTGAGGAAGAGGATAGCACAGCCTCTGCCCGCCCCCCGCCCCCCCCCGGCCCAGTGCCTCTGAGATCTATAGAAAACAGGAGGAATATGGCAGTGTTCCAACTCTAATGCTGGAACACCCTGAGATGCTCTGTCATCTCAAGAGGGATCATTCTATTGCCAAGCAATTAAAAAATTTTGCTTAATTAACTGTGACAGAGAATGTGTATATTTTTGGACAATGGGAACCATGTATGCTATGAATTTTAATATATGTATAAGGATAACATGCTGTTATACCTCTCTGTCTCTCAGAGCACCCAAGACAATGCCTTGCCTACAGAAGACCCTTACTGCACATCTGTTCTATGGATTAATCGATCAATGAATTCCTTTTATAGGAGAAACTTTGCAAGGACAAAAGAAAGACCCTGGAATCAGTTTTTAAAAGATCAGGACTGAGTAGCGACCTTCTTTCCTCAAGGTCACCCTCTCCAGGGGAAACCGGCCAAGATTGGTTTTCCTCCTTCCATTCAGAATCCCCTACTTTGCTCAACCTTTGGCAAATCGATCACCTTCCCCTTTCTGTCCCTAGTTTCCCCTTCTATTCAATGAAGGGAGCTGGACTTTACCGTTTCCCAATGAGTGATCTGTGAAACGCTAAATCTGAGAAACACCCAAGAAAATGTGTATGCTCAGAAAGCTTTGAGAAATGCTGCCTCCCATCCGCACCTCTTGCACAAAGCACAGCAGCATATTAAACGAATAGGTCCTTCAGTTAAATTATCTGTTCAGCTTCCACACAAAGTGTACCAAACTTATGTCACCAGGAGCTTTCCTCCCTTTTATCAGCCATGGAGAATGCACTGACCTGAGGAACCTCTGGCTAGATGACCTCAGAGAGCCTTCCCAGCCTGGAAGTCCCAAACCCTAGCTCAGGTCCCAGTTCCAGCAGCTGCACCCACAGCCCCAGAAGGGACAAAGCAGGGAGGGCTCATCCCCAAGGCTTAGAGTTTGGCTCTATCTGGATGCCTTTTACCTAGGTATCCCTCTTTCCAACTGCACCTCAGACCCCCAGGCTCTGCCCAAAGAGACAGGAGGAAGGACAGTGCCTCTCTCTTCCTGTCCCAGGGAAGAGTTGTTGCACTGTCTATTGAGCTCCTCACCCTTGAGAGCACCAAGGAGACAGGAACAAAGACACAGACTGAAGGAACTGGTCCTTGGCAGGGAGAAGATGGTGAGATACCGAGAGAGGTGTCCGGACAGAATTAGAAGAAGAGATAAATGAGGAGGCTTGTTTATCTTTCTGAAGTGAGAGCAGTGAAGGGACATAAAGCCAGTACAGGTGGGAATGGGGCAGGGGACAGGAGAGTGAGGGTTCCTGAAAATAGACAACAGAGAGCAGATGGCTGGTATAGGTTAGAGGCCCAGCACCCAGGAAGACCGAGGGCATACTCACTTAAGGGATAGCAGAGAGTCAGAGCCAGGCAGGCGCAGCTTCCCCCGAGGCTGGAGGCCCCATTGAGCCTTGTGCCTTCGTGCTCAGAACAAGGGGTTGTGGGCACAGAGCCCACAGGGCACTCTTAAAGGGATAGCTCTCTGAGGTCATCTGTGTTCCTTAGGCCTTCAGCCAATGAGGTAAGGGGATCATTTGCCTATCTCATTGGCCTGGGGTAGAGGGAGGTGGTTGGGGGAAACAAGAAGGGAGGACAAGTATGCCTCTTCTCAAGGAAGGGAAGAAGAGATCTTCCCCCAACAAAGCTCCTCACTAAAGGTCTGACCCACATGTGCTCAGTTCCCTGAGATGCTCTGTCATCTCAAGAGACATCATTCCATTTCCAAGCAATTAAAAAAATTTGCTTAATTAATTATGACAGAGAATGTGTATATTTTTGGACAATGGGAACCATGTATGCTGGTGATGGTACAGACCACCACCCTCACGTGAACACAACCCTCGGCCCTCAGAGACTGAAAGTATGGGACTAGAAAAAGAGGGCCAGGCAAGCCCCCAGTGCCCTTACCGTCCAAGGCTCTGCAGCCCCTCGTCACTGTTTTTGGTGAGTACAAGCTCTCCCACACCCGCTCTCGCCTGGACTGTTTGGTGTGTGTCTCCTGTTTTCAGGAATCCTCACATTTCTGCCCCCTGCCTCACTCCCACTGTATCTGGCCTCGTGATCCCAACAGCTATCACATCAGAAAGAGAAGCCATCTTCTCAGCAATGAATCTCCAGGATTTGACCATCTGATCCTCAGTCTCTCCCACTCTTGCTGACCCAGCCCCAGGACAGGCAGCCCAGCATAGGAGAAGGAGCAGGAGAAGGGAGAACGATATTCTGCCCCTTCCTTCTGGGCCACCATGGGACACTGAAATCTCATCACCAATCCATCTGAGACTTTTGTAACTGTTGTCATATGCCCTCTGCTTCCTCTCATTTTTTGCCCTGTGTGTATCTCTGTCCCACTCTCTTCCTCTCTCTTTCTGGTTCCCAGATGGCTGGTGGGTGACCTACATTTTCAGCCTAATCCCCTAACACCTCTTAGAGCTATCATCCCTGAGTAGAAGTTGAAACAGGGATACTAGGAATTAGCCAAGGAGATGTTTAAACCTGTCTGAAGCTGTTTAAATAGGGTCTATATTGGAATAGAACTCCAGGAGCTAAAGTCTATTCACTACCTTCTGAGGATACCCAAACCCCCTCCCATGGAGTTAATAGGCCCTCTTTCCCAACCCAGAGAGAGACATGGGGGTCCATCAGCCCCAATGATCATCATTTATAAAAATTAACCTAAATAAATAAATAAATAAAATCTTTAAGAAAAAAAAAAAAAAGACTTGGCTGGTGTGGCTCAGTGGATTGAGTGCCAGCCTGTAAACCAAAAGGTCACCAGTTCCATTCCCAGTCAGGGCACATGCCTGGTTGTGGGCCAAGTACCCAGTTGAGGGTGTGTAAAAGACAACTGATCAATGTATCTCTCACACATCGATGTTTCTCTTCCTCTCCTTCTCCCTCCTTTCCCCCTCTCTAAAAACAAATACATAAAATATTTTTAAAAAAATAAAATTAAAATTAACCTAGTCCCAGCCTTAGGTGAAAAGGTGAGAGATTCATGTGGTTTAAGATAGTTGTTCTCTAAGTGTGGTTGCCAGATCAGCAGCATCACCTGGGAACTTGTTAGAAATCCAAATTCTCTCGCCTCACCTCAAATCTACTGAATTGGAAACTCTGGGGATGGAGCCAAAAAAAAAAATCTGTGTTATAATAAGCCATCTGGGCAATTTTGATGAACACAAAAGTTTGAGAACAACTGGTCTACGGAATGCATACCATGAACTCAACTTCCCTTGGTGCAGAGTGTTTGTGTGTGGTCTCTCCTGCCATGTTCTCTGCACACGTATAAGGAAACGGAGATCAGATGCCGGCTTTCTTTTCCCGCACCTGGCCCCCATCTTGTGGCGCAGAGACTACTACCATTATTCAAGAAAAGGGCTTCTCAGTGCAATTGCCTGGATCTAGTGCTGTTTTGTAGAAGAACCAAAAAGCCCAAGGCCTGAAAACAAAGCCACAGAATGTGAATAGGGATCATAGAGATAGCGTACTCCACACATGTCCTTGGTATGCAGCTCTAAGGCAGGAAAGAGACCCCAGAATGTCCCCAGTTGAAGAAGGAATAAGGAGCGTTGATTAGAGCCCCCATCTTTTATGCCTGGTCTTGCCTGGCCAGACACTTGCCGCACTCCCCTCTCCCAGCAGCTGTCAGGCCTACACTGATCCTCTTGTTTACTGGAGGCTCAAAGAAGAGGTGGTTGGGCTAAGCTATTGATGAGCTAAAGGAGTCAGACTAAATAAGCTCAGGCAGGTTGAGCTGCTAAGGACTCAGACCAGGTGCCACTGACCAGGGAAAGGAGTCTGGGAACTGAGGGCTGGACCAGGGAAAAGGACCAAGGACATGGAAAGGAGAGGCTGTGGCCACCATTAGGAACCCAGGAGGTAGCTAATGAGTCCTCTGTGGGGAAGGGAAGGGATGCATGCTGACAGTAACTGGCTCAAGGGGTCAAAACATGGGGATGAAAAAGATGAAGCCCGGTGGACTCTAGGAATGAGGGAACAGAGGAAGGGAGGCAGGAAGACTTAGCCCAGGAGGCCGTGGGTACAGACCTAGGACAGAGGGCAGAACAAGTCAGGGACTCTCCAGGGATCTGGACTGAGGGAGACAATGGGGCATAGGCACATGGAAGAGATGGGCAGAGGGCCATGGGGAACTAAAAGAGAGAGGAAAGCTGGGAGGAGACCAAGGAGGGAGTAAGAGTAACAAGAGGAGTGGTGGGAGCAGAGGACTAGAAGAGCAAAAGTAGTAGAAGAAAGAATCAAAGGAAAGTAAGATTGAGGACCAAGACCTAAAACAAACACAGAGGAATGAACAGAGAAATGGTCAGGTCACAAATAAAGAGAAGTGGCCAAAAGACCAAAAGGCAGGAAGATGTGGATTGGGGGAAAGAGGGCCAAGCAGGCAAAGGGCCTGAAGAAGTGGAGCAGAAAACAAAGAGGAAGGAAAAAAGAAGGGACAGAGTCGGTAATCCAAGACGCTGTCGTGACCTCCTCTGTCCTGCATCCATTTTTGGAGCCCTGTAAGCTTTGTTCTCATTCCTAGTTCTGGCCTTTGGTATCTAAGATCTTCAGTAATGGATCCAAATCCTCAACTCTCTTCCTGGTCTACCTCTCTTACATTCTCATTTGACAAATATTGCTAAACACCTACTCCACCTCAGGCACTGT